GTCTATAAAAGTATCGAGCTGCAATTATACGCGTTGGTTTTAGGGTACAGAGACAAAGTAATCTGTTTCCAACCGAAAATGAACAGACCTACCTGCGCTTGTGACTGAGTTGGCCGGGGAGAAACCACCGATACTCTTTTAGAGTCACTCGCACTCGCCTGGGCTTTTGGCGTGACTATGGGAGATGCATCGGCAATTGTATTCAACTCAATTTCCGGGGAGGACATGGCTTGCGTAGTTCGGAGTGTTGCTTGTGGTCTAAAAAGAGTGTAGTAATATTCGCAGGTATTGACTATTGTACAGGCCAGCGTAGATGTGTACTCTATTTCTTGTGCACGAGAACAGTGACTATTTGTGCCTTAAACTATGTATAACAATATTAAGATCATGTATATGTGGAAATCTAACTGAATCACTGCCTATCGAGGTCCATGCATATTTGCAGGAGAGTAAATAGTAAAAAATACTGTATAGTACCACTTTGCATTGATTGCTGCAGCCACGAGATGTTGTACGAGTGATATAAGCATTCGTAGACGGTATATCATCGCCCCTACGGTAGTGACTGGTCCCGAATACGACGCTTGGGACACTACACAAGAGAGGCGAATAGCTGCTGCATTTATGGCTGAAGCTCGTTCGGGTACCGTCGTCGATAGTGGTATATACACTACACGCAGGATGTTCATCTGCAAACTTAATCTTCTAATAGTGTCTTGTAATGCATGATATACATCCATGTACATACATAGCCAGCTCTCACATTAACATCCCAAACAAATAAGCACAGCTTGGCATATACACAAGTCACTGCCGAGATACACTTATCATTGTGTACCGTAAAGAATACATACCGGGGCGCTGGCACCGGTCGACACTCCGACTGACTGCGGTGGTGTCCCACATGAGACGCACGACGCTCTGGCGGCGCAGATGTCAGCAACTGCTGCGTTTGTATCTGTAGAACATCCTCAAACTCTCCGGTACTCAAGCACCTCTTATTGCTTGGCCTGCGGCTGGTAGCTACAATCGAGTCCTTGTTGTTACTGATGACGCCGTTGTGTCCGTGGTCGTAGTAGGTCTCTCCATGAGGCGACACACACACCGACACATCCACACACACCGATACCTTCGAACCGGGTGACAGAGAGTCCGACGAGCCGCTCGTGATACTGGTGCGCGTGTGTGTACAGATCACCTGGCCATCATACCCCTGTATTCCCATTCCATAGCCGTTGGAGCTCACTGCCGCTCGAAATGTGCCGTGGGTAATGCTTGCGCTGAGACGGTCACTGCTGGCGTTCTTGTTGTTATTGGTAGCCAACACCACACTGCCATACGTCATGTCATCAGTATGAGCAGCACTAAGTGTCGGGGTCGATACGTGTGTGTGGGTATGAGGGAATGAGTGGGAGGGTGCACGCACCCGGTCTGTTTGAGGCGAACTATTGACCAGGTATTGAGTGGGGATGAAGTTCTGGACTTGGATCTCCTCTGCGGTGAGCTCCTCTTTGCCTTTAATCAGCACACACACAGAGTCTTCAGCTAGGCCCAGGCCCTGTGATGTGTACAGAGTGGTATGATAATCAGGGCAGCGGATAGCGCGTTAATTATTCCAAGACATTCCGTTCTGATGGATAACTTAATTATGGAAAAGAATCGGTTGGTTTGCCTTGGGTAAAATATAGCAAAACCTAATAGATTCTATAGCCTCTAATTGGGGAACAGTAGGGCACAAATAGAATAGAACTTCATAGAGGAAGCACAGCAAAATATTAAACATGGTTGTCCAATGTTTATGCGAGCTGTGTGCATATCAAATGCAGAGACTACTCCAACAAACAAGCTGTTTCCGAAATTGTATCAATGCGTAATATATGATAGAGCATATATACACGACATACATCAATACCAGAGGCAAACGCAACAGTAACTGGACTCTATCTACCGTGGCTACATATGGCTATTAGCAAAAAGGTACACCGAGCGGCATAGCCTGGTCAAACCCTTCCAATGAATACACCAACCAACTAGACTGACATTCTTACAATATAGGATATCAAATTGTGCTTATCCTAATACACATGTATATTTCACCTACCTGTACCATCTTTTCGTCGAAGGTGTCAACACTGGATATGGTGCCAGTGGACGCACGAGTCATTTGATCTGACGTCATCTGACTGGGTGGTCTCTCATTGGGCACCTTGTCTACGGCCCCGATAGCCTCCTTTTATGTAAAAACGTGAAGAACGACAATTGGAGAGAATTAAATGTAAGCATCCCTTGACATTACACAGTCTACTGACAGCGATGGCCATACTCAAATTAAATGTAAGCATCCCTTGACATTACACAGTCTACTGACAGCGATGGCCATACTCATCATATGCAATAGCCTAGTATACAAACAGGAACAGTATTACGCATCACATGCTATCACACTGTCTTCAGTCGGGTGGCCAGGAGAAGTAGGACATTCCTACACGAGTCGACGATGATTAGTCAGACAGTCTGCTAGTGCCTTTAATTCATACAGCTAATCCGATGTGTACACGAACTTCATATATATATATATATATATATGTATATATATATATATATAAATATAAATATATATATACATATATCCCCACACTACTATATCGGAGCATATTTTTGCTACAATTTATATATACACACACCTGCATTGTATCTAGAGGAATAATGAGGTGCTCATTCGAAGGTCTAGACCAGGTAGAGCTTCCAGTGGATGCTTGATAGTAATACAGTTGGTCGCTCGCCTTATCTCTCAACTGCAACCATTGATCTGCTTGCCCCTTGCTGATAGCATGGCGGTATGAGTGTGAATGTAAAATTGCAAAATAAAGTATATATAAGAACGTTTATGAACGTGTTAGAGTGTATGTGTATGTATGTGTCTGAGGCGCTCTGTCTCCGAAGTAGGCCACGGTTTGGCCCGCGAGTCCTAAACAAACAAATTCACGCACACATATACGTATTTGTGTACGAGACAGGAGATGCTGGATATATAAATCTACGCCATAATCATTTGTGTACCTACCCAACCATGCTCTTCGGGCGTTCGGACTGAACCTTTGATGAGTTGGTCTCTACAAACATGACTTTACCGGTTGTCATCTCCCTCACCTCAATCCACCGTCGAGGATTGAGCAGGCTCGATCTTGAAGGCGCAGTTAAGTACGTACAGAATGAGTACCGTGCACTCTAGAAATACACCGCAAGGATGTATATCGTATATAAATAAGCGTACGCAATCGAGGAGCGCATTGAAATAATGTCTAATGTAAGATAGGAGCTGACGCAAAAATATTTGTGTAAACTGACGGTTGCTTTCTTTTCCGAAATAGTACTCGGCACCACAGTGAGGATAGCACTCACATTGAAGGACATGTACATGCGTGACTATACATGTATCCAAATTGACTAATGTAGAATCAAGCAGAGCGAAATAACGTTACAAAAATTAAAATAATGCATGAAATCCAATCAACGCAGGGATTCGCACATGGCAATTTAAATATATATTTAGTATATAATATACATGCACTTTAACTCTTTATATAGTCATTTACTATGGCAACTACAAATAAAAATGTATGTTCTACACTGAATGTCAGAAGGTGAGCATATACGCGAGCGACTATACCTTCATGAACTATTATCGACTTATCAGTTCATAGATTACACCAATTACAAGCGACTCCATATAAATAAAAATATTTAGGACGCGAATATGTATCCGATATGTATATATGTGAACAGGTACAGACACAATTTTTTATTTTCTTGAGAAAGAGTATATATATATATGTGTGTATATGTATATAAATAAGCATAG